GGCGGTCAGCGCGTATCACGTGGAGACGCGTTCCGACACGCTTTCAGGGCTCTCGCCGCCGTGTTCTCCGAGCATACCAAAGTAGCGTCAGCACAGACAAGTCGAGTAGTATTCGCCTCAACCTTCAGCAATTGGAGATGGCTGCGAATTTCTTCAGCAACAAAGCCCGGGCTGCAGCTGCAGCTTCGGGTACCTCCAAGCAAAAGCCAACGGATGGAAAGGATGAACAAGGTCGACAACAACCATGGGTTGAGAAATAGTAGGCGCTCTCCACCCAATGCTCTCTTATGTTCCAGTCACGTTGACCACGAAATAGTCGTCCCAAGACTCTCGATGATGTCGCCGCACAAGATCACACCACCAAGGTTCTCCGACGCACGTTGCAAGCTTCTAATGTACGACGAGATCCGAACTCTGCATGGTCACCTAAGCTCCAGGAATACTGACGGGCGATCTCTAGCTCCCCCATATGCTTTTCTACGGCCCTCCCGGTACCGGAAAGACTTCCACAATTCTTGCTCTCGCAAAGTCGCTCTTTGGTCCTACTCTCTACCGCTCGCGCATCCTTGAATTGAACGCTTCCGATGAACGTGGTATTGGCATTGTGCGCGACAAGATCAAAAACTTTGCTCGTGCCCAACTCAGTCACTCAACAGGCATGGGTGCGGAATACCTGGCCAAATACCCGTGTCCTCCATTCAAGATCATCATTCTTGATGAGGCAGACAGTATGACACAGGACGCGCAGTCCGCTCTTCGTCGTACCATGGAGCAGTACAGTCGGATCACCCGTTTCTGCTTAGTCTGTAACTATGTGACTCGTATCATAGAGCCGCTGGCGAGTCGGTGCAGCAAATTCAGATTCAAAGCTTTGGACAATACCGCGGCGGGAGATCGGCTGGTCCAGATCGCCAAGCTGGAAAACCTGAGATTAGAAGAGGGTGTGGTTGACAAGCTGATCAGCTGTAGTGAAGGTGATTTGCGACGTGCGATCACCTATCTGCAAAGTGCGGCCAAGCTGGTCGGGGCCGGTAGGGTTGAGAAGAAGGACGATGACGAAGATACCGAGATGGCAGATGAAAGCTCGGAATTGATCATTGTCAGGACCATCGAGGAGATCGCTGGTGTCGTCCCTGAAAGCGTTTTGGATGATCTGACCCGGGCTCTGCAGCCGATGAAGGTTGGGTCGTCTTATGATGCTGTTTCAAAGGTGGTTACAGACATTATTGCAGATGGATGGAGTGCCAGTCAGCTTCTTCTACAGGTATTTCTATATCCTATTTCCGAATCTCGCTGGTGGAGTCTCAATACTAACCCGGTGCAGCTGTATCGGCGCATGATCTACAACGATGCTATTCCCGACATTCAGAAGAATAAGATCGTGACGGTCTTTTCGGAAATGGACCGTCGTCTGGTTGACGGAGCTGACGAGCACCTAACTATCCTGGACGTCTCACTCAAGATTTCTGGCATCTTAGGCGGCGCGTAGTCGTCGAAGATCGGCTATACCACTATTTTCTCTAAGCGTTGAGCGACGTCATTCCATTGGCAGGCCTCGCCGATAGGAGTATCAGGAGGCCAATTGACGCGACCCATCATCATCCGAAAGATACAGATGTTTACAGGATGCTGCCTCACCCAAGCCACCAGAATCTGTCATCTTCTTTCATGCATCGCTTCCTGTAGCACGGAAGTATACAGTGGAGCCGGTACTCGTGGGAAACAATCGGACGCGCTCACAAAACCCAATTTTGCAACTTGGAGTGAAGCCAAGACTTACGAATGTATGAAATATAATGAACAAGTCAAAACATGCTTCTCTCCAACTCAATTCCAATGGGGGCCCATGTAGCTGTAGGAACGTCATACACTGAGGGCATTGCATCCATCCAGCATCGCCGGTTCCTCACGTGCGGCCCGCTTCGTGGCTCACCGAGGAGCCGGACGAGAGCCGGAATAGAGTGTGCCGCATCAACACTTCTTATGACTCAAATGATCTCTAGCTTTTTGTTTTCTCCTTGCTACTATACATACATTTGAGGCAGCAGCATATCGCGATATTGCAATAGACCCTTAGAGAACTGCATTTAGACCGCCCATCACCCTCATGGCTTCCTCCGAGTACCCCGCATCCACCCACACTCCCCGCTATTTGACCGGCGACGCGGCCGGCATCCGTGAGTTCATAGACAAGTTTGATGTGAGTGTCTTCAGGGGGGTCCATTTTGTGTCAGAATGCAGAGGCTAATTTATCATCCAGGTGTTCCTGTTTGACTGCGATGGTACGTTCTCCGAACGCGAATGTCCCATCCAATCTGAGAGCATCCGCGATGTCTACACCAGCAAGGACCGACTGACCACCGATCCACAAATTAGGGGTTCTCTGGTCCGGGGACCACCTTTTCCCGGGTACGAACGAGACATTAGAACTATTAAGAAGCAAAGGTATGAATTTTTTTTCTTTCCCCTGGGGACAGTATGAGCTGCTCGCAGACAGACCAGCTAACCCCTCCTCCCTCCACCAGGCAAGCAAGTCGTCTTCGTGACGAATAACAGCACCAAATCCCGCGCCGACTACGTGAAGAAGCTCGAGGGATTAGGCATTCCCAGCTCCACGGTACGTTTTGCCCTCCGCGAAATTTCTCCAATCCCGAACCCCACCACTAATTCCGTGAAGGAAGAAGTCTTCTCCTCCTCCTACAGCGCCTCCATCTACATCTCCCGCATCCTCCAACTCCCGCCCACCAAACGCAAAGTCTTCGTCATCGGCGAAACGGGCATCGAGCAGGAACTCCGCGCCGAGAACGTCCCCTTCCTCGGCGGCACCGACCCGGCCTACCGCCGCGAGATCGCCCCGGAGGATTACCAGAAAATCGCCGCCGGCGACCCCAGCCTCCTCGATCCGGAGGTCGGCGTCGTGCTGGTCGGCTTGGACTTCCACCTCAACTATCTCAAGCTGGCGCTGGCGTTCCACTACATCCGCCGCGGCGCGGTGTTCCTGGCCACGAATATCGATAGTACGCTCCCGAACGCGGGGTCCTTGTTCCCGGGGGCCGGGTCGATGAGTGCGCCGTTGATTATGATGTTGGGTGGACGGGAGCCGGTGTCCCTGGGGAAGCCGAATCAGGCGATGATGGATGCGATTGAGGGGAAGTTCCATTTTGACCGGCAGCGGGCGTGTATGGTCGGGGATCGCGCGAACACGGATATCCGGTTTGGGGTCGAGGGGAAACTGGGGGGTACGTTGGGGGTGTTGACGGGAGTGAGTAGTAAGGAGGACTTTTTGGAGGGGGAGGTCAGGCCCGCGGCTTATTTGGATCGGTTGGCGGATTTGTTGGGGTGTCAGTGATTTGTTTTCTGTGGGGTTTACTTGGGAGGAATGGAGGTTGGGAGGGTTGGGGTATGTTTTGGACAACCGGGGGGAAGATTATGATTTCGGCCCCTTGTGTATGGGTTTAGGTTGCATAGAATACAGGAGATACCCACCCCTCCCCCTTGTGAACGACCGCTATATACATATGGTGTTGCGGCGGGTGTAAGGATGACTTATCAGCAGGAAAGTTTAGGATCAAGGTGAGGATCATCCCTCAACAGCCCCGCCAGCTTCCACAGGCCCAGCATCGCATTGACCGTGGGCTTGTCGTCCGGTCGAAGAAACACCGCCGCCTGGCCCTGGAACTTGGCACACGCGAGATCCTCTTCCGCCAGTAAACGGGTCATATCGAACACGGGCACCTTGGAATTCGTCTGCGGCAGATGGAAGAAGCTCGACAGGGGCAGCGGCGACGAGCCGGCGGTGCGCCGCAGCACCAGCACCGCACCCCTCTCCATCCGCGCGATGGGCTCCATCTTCGCCAACGCCTCGACCAGCGCCTCCTCCGCGAGCTTTTCTCCGTCCTCCAGCGGCAGTACCGGGGTCCACACCTGCCTCTTCGGCGAGTCGTTCGACTGCGTCGCCGCCCGCCGCAGCCGCTGGCCCACCTCGCGCCGCATCATCCGCGTCACAAACTGCGGCATGTCCTGGCGCCAGACGCACGACGCCATCATCGACTCCGTCATCGGCCCCAGCGGCGGCCGCCAGCGAACCGGGAACGTCAAGACGATGGCCGGGAACTTCCGCTTGGACTTGCGCATGCTCTCCGTGATCGTGTTCAGGAGCGTCAGTCGGTTGACCATTCGGAACCGCAGGTGACGGATTTCTTGGGAGGTCTGCGTCGTCGTCGTCGTCGTCTTCTTCTGCTGATCCGGGGAAGATGATGACGACGGCGATGGATCGGGCACGGGCACGGACACGGACACCGGTGGTAAGATCTCGGACGGGTGGATGAACAGACTCTTGCCCTCGGGGTGTTGCTCCAGACCCCAGCCGGTCATGAACTCGGTCGGCATGCGCTGCCCCGTCAGTGAGCATTGGCGGATCGGGGAGGCCAGCGCCACGGCCCAGGGGTTCGTGGAGAGGTCATCTTCGGGGTTCGAGGGTTTGCTGCGCGCTTTCTTCTTGTGCAGGCGCTCGTAGCCGGGTTTGGGGTCGGTGAGTAATGGGGATTTGGGGAGGAGGGAGGACGGCGGGGGAGAGATTTTGGCTCGAGGTTTTCGGGTGGGTTTGGCAGGTGTTGCGTTAGGAGCGGTGTCCGGGGGTTGTTGTGCGGGTTGCGGAGGTTCAGGGTGAAATTCAGGCTCGTCGGTCGAGGTGGATAAAGTGCGTATGCGGTGGTGGTTGTTGTTGTGCTGAAGGGGAATTGGGCCACGGATGGTGGTGCTGCTATTGTTGACTAGTTGACGAAATTGCCTCAAGCGCCATGACGCATATGACATGCGACCGTAGAGACACTCCATTGCCTCCTTTGGTGGATGATGGCGCGGTGAGCAGTTGGAACGGAGCGGTTGTTGGTGGAGAAAGCCAGAGTAGAAAAACCCGCGGAGGTGTTGGACGTTGACCGACGGCGCGCAAAGGCGGAGTCCTGCTTCTGTTGCTGCTGCTGCGACAGTCCTCCACCACTTCTCCGACCATCACCACTGCACCTTTCCTCCTCATCCTTGCCAGATCCTCCTACGCGCTCTGGATTCACAAGCAATAGCTTCAGAATGAATCCATCTCGCCCCCTGCAGCGAGCGAGCCGCATATTCAGCCGCCCGTCGGCCGTTCCGGCCCTGTCGCGGAGCTTCACCAGCTCCATCCCGTCGCTATCATCCCTACCAGCTTCATCGACGGCCCGACCTGCGCGAGGATGGACGCCCACGCCGTTCATCACCGAGACGGTGGTAAGTTCGAGTTCTCTCCCACAGCGTGTCAACCAAACAACTCACTAACAAATAATTAGGGCGGAGGCTGGCACACATGTACGTTATACTCAGTGCATCATCCACAGCTCACTCAAATCAAAAACCTACAGCTTGCACCCATAAACCTCACCACCACCTCCACCACAATTCAACCCTAACTAATTCCCGTGCAACGCAGATGACATCTTCTCCCGCCTCCTCAAAGAGCGCATCATCTGCCTGAACGGCGAAGTCGACGAAACCATGTCCGCGTCCATCGTCGCCCAACTCCTCTTCCTGGAAGCCGATAACCCCCAAAAACCCATTCACCTGTACATCAACTCCCCCGGAGGATCGGTCACGGCCGGTATGTCTACCTACCCCTAGTCCTCAACCCTGTAGTCCAATACCCCCCATACCTACCTCCCACCCATACTGACTACCCGCCAAAAGGCCTAGCAATTTACGACACAATGACCTACATCGCCAGCCCGGTCTCGACGATTTGCGTCGGCCAGGCCGCATCCATGGGCTCCCTGCTTCTGTGCGGCGGCCACCCGGGCAAACGGTACTGCCTGCCGCACTCGTCGATCATGATCCACCAACCCTCCGGCGGATACTTCGGGCAGGCCAGCGACATCGCGATCCACGCCAAGGAGATCCTGCGCGTGCGCAGCCAGCTCAACAAGATCTACCAGCGGCATTTGACGGGCAAGAAGGTGCTGTCGCTGGATGAGATTGAGAAGCTCATGGAGCGGGATTACTTCATGGGGGCGAAGGAGGCGTTGGAGATGGGGATTGTGGATGAGATTTTGGATCGGAGGCCGGGCGTTAAGGAAGGTGGGGGTGGAGGTGGGGAGGCGAAGGGGACGGATTCGGATGGTGGGGAGGAGTAGGTACTTACCCCGGAGGTTAGGGTTGGGCTGGGTTTCTGGTTTGGTTGTGGCTGGTTTCGTACCTTTTGAGTGGAAAGGGGCGGAGGTTGATGCTTATACATACCCTGGTTTATTGTCTATTTTCTACTTTATGTTTTGTGATTGTATCTTATCTGTGATGTTGATGATCATAAACTGATGATGAAGAGCATGGGGATAGAAACTCCACTCCATTTCACTCCACTCTATTCAGCTTATCCTGCTTGATTGTGTCAGATGATACACAATAATCTATCTACTCTTTATGGACCACCCCTTACACTGAATCAACGTTCTCACATGTTTGACAAATAGGAGTTAGTAGATTATGACCTATTCTAAACAGTACAGGAGAACCCCCGCATCTATACCAGCCAAAGCGACCATGAAAAGCAGCAAGCCCCTCCTCTAAGCACTGACAATGCCATTGGCATCGGGAGCGGGATTCGGATTATTAGCAGTGGCAGTGGCAGTGGCAGCAGTAGCCTGCGCATTCCGCTCCACCGACCGTCCATTCATCGCATCGCGAAAGCCGGCCATGAACGCCGCCGCCTGCTGCGGATTCGCAAACCGCAACGAATTCCGCCCCGTCGCCGGAGTGTACCGCCATTGCTCGCGGACCACATCCACCAGCCCCACGTTCATGATCATCGCCTGGCCCGAGGCGAACTGATCCAAGGGGTGACTATCCTTCGCCGCGGTCGTGCTCCGTCCAAGATTCAGGCCCGTCTCGGCCGGGTCGGCCAGCAACTCGGTCCGTTCGTCGATCAAGGTGTCATGGTCATGATCCTCGGGTCGTTCCTCCATCGCAGGCCGTCGACTGACTAGGACCTCGGTCTGGTCATCTGTAGTACCTGTGGCTGCACCCCGGAGAACACCCCGCTCTTCGGAATCGTGATCCTGCCCCAGCCCGTTGATGATAGCACTCAGGATATTACTTCTTGAGGTCGCCGTACCGATTGGTCCCTGCTGCTGCGCCTCGACAGTCTTGACCCTCTCCACCACCAGCGCCAACATCACCAAATCCAGGAGGAGAACCAACACATCCATGGACAGCAGCCGGGTCAGCGGGACGGGCGCCTTCTGGCCGATGAAGTCGATGAACAAGCCCCCGTGGATGTACCCGCGGGTCTCCTCGCCGGCTTCCGGCGCGGCAAAGAGGGTATGGCAGAGCATGCAGAACAGATTACTCAGGAAGATGGCGCCGACGAAGGGCTGGTTCCGGGTCGGGTCGAAGGGCGGGGCTTTCGGGGTGAAGAAGATGAGCTGCACGATGGCGCGGAGGGCGAAGAGGATGATGGAGCAACTGCCATACAGAAAGTTTATGATTTGTTAATAAATGGATACTGGGGCGGGGGTGTTGTGGTCGGATGTGATAATATGTTGGTTGGATCTACAAAATGACGACCGGCGGAAAAAGAGATATGGGGCTATATGCTCACTCCATATAATACAGCGCGGAGAGCTCGCAGTAGATGAGGATATCGAGATCGCGGAGGAGCCGATCGATGAAGGCGACCTTGGCGGTGGATTGGATCTTTTTCATGCGCTCATCATAACTGCCGTTGCTGCCGCTGGTGCTGCCGCTAGGTTCGGCGACGAGGCCGGGCGATAAGCCGGACACGTCAGCGAGGTATTCCGCATCTCGATACACATCTGGAGTGGTCATAGAGGGTCATGAGGACATGGATGATGCGATCAGAGAGTTCAGAAAGTGGGGAGTTGTTTGGGAAGGGTGGAAAGATGGAAGGGAGGGGAAGTGAGGTTGGCGCTGACGGTCAATCAGTCAGTCAATCAGTGAGTTGATCAGGAGAAGTGGAGTGGTGGAGGAAGGATGGAGTGGAGGGCGGAAAGCGGAGGCGGAGAAGGACAAGGCACCTGCGCCAGGCGATGGCGGCTTTTCCTCGGTCCGACGGAGCTGAGGCTACTAACTACAACTACAGTACGAACATTTAGCGCGAGCTACACTGCAACACTAGCTGAATGATAGTGAGGTATTTCTTATGAACAGGCTAGACTATGGACGGTTGTCTATTCTAATCCACAAGAATCGTCTTGGAGAGGTCGGCGTAGTGCTTGAAGAAGCTCGTAAACAGCCGGATGGAATGGCCGACATCATAGGTACCTCCAGTCTCGCGGATACTGTGCATGCTGAGCTGAGGGTTGCCCAGATCCAGAGTACGAGCTCCCAGCTTGGCTGACATCATGGGACCAATGGTACTGCCGCAGCTGGAGTCGTTGCGAACAACGAACAGCTGCAGGGGCACACCCTCACCACCGTCCTCGGCGGCCTTGCGAGCAACCTCCTGCAGAAGAACAATTCCAGGAGAGTTGGTCGCGTAGCGCGCATTGGCGTTGATCTTGATTACAGGTCCCTTATTGATCTGCGGCCGGTGGTCGTTCTCGTACTTGGGGGAGTAGTTCGGGTGAACACCGTGCGCCATGTCGGCGGAAAGAAGGAATGAGGTAGACAGAGTCTGCTCATAGGCAGTGGAAACGTCGGCATCACCGCCGGCCGTCGACGGCAGCACTGAGAGACGACGGATAACGGCAGGAAGCATGTTGGAGTCGGCGCCCTGAGCGGTACGGCTGCCGATCTCTTCGTGGTCAAACAAAGCAATGAGACGGATGGACGACTCATTGTCCAAGGCCGAAGCATCGGTCACAGAGTCAATCAGGCCGACGGTGGCACAGAAAGAGCTGTTCAGGTTGTCCAAACGGGGAGAAAAGATGAACTCGTCCAACAAGCCACCCAGGTTGGACTTTTGCGTATCGAACAGAATCATCTCAAAGTCGAGGATATCGGCAGGCTTGGCGCCGGCTTCGGCGGCGATGAGCTCGACCAGGTAAGGGTGGTGGCGCTCAGTGATCGCCTTCAGAGGGGAGAATTCTCCTTCATCCTCTGCAGTGTTCTCAGCCTTGGTGGTCTCACTGGCACCGGTGCGGTTGAGCTCGGCCTCCACGAGGCCGGCGATGGGGAAAAGCTGGGTCTCCTTGTTAAAGGAGAAAGTTTCCTGGCGGTCAAGGTGGATAGCCAGGGTAGGGATACGCAGAACTATCAAGCCCGTTAGTTACACACCCTGAAAATCTCAGAGATAGTTCATACTAGGCCGGTCAATCTTGATCAGCTTCTGCACAATCGAGCCGTCGCCGTTGCGCACCATAGCCCGACCCGCAACTCCCAGATCACGGTCGAACCCTGTGAGCAATTAGCACCGATTACATGATCAGAACAGGGTAAGCGCACACGTATGCCAGATGCCCCCTCCGTAGGTCTCGACACCCACTTGGACATAGCCTTCCCCGCGCTTGTTGCTGACAGGCTTGACCCGCAGCACGGGGGAGTCGGTGTGAGCCCCAATCATGGAAATGGGGTTGCCAGGCTGTTGAGTGTCAGCGTCAGTTTGCCCAATGAGGTAAGATCGTTGACTAGGCACATACCTGCCACTTCTTGCCGATAGCAAAGGCCACAATGGTAGACTGGTTACGAGTGACATAGTATTTTCCGCCGGGACGGCAGGTGGATGCCCAAGGGTCCTTCTCCTGCAGTGGTATTAGTAGCTGCTCTCAAATTCTGTGAGACAATCGTCTGTACCTTGATCTCTTGGAAGCCAGCCTTCGCGAGGAGGTCCTTTGCAGATTGGACTGCATGGAAGGCTATATGGCTCGGTCGTGTTAGAACGGCTTCTCCACCAGGCACAGATAAGGCAGTATGATTGGGGAAGAGCTTACGGGTGGGAGAGGCATTGACATAGGACAAAAAGTCCAGAGCCGGCTGTTTCAGGTTCTGGGCGAGCTTGGAAGTCATCTTGGAGGACCTTGGGATCTGACAGAGAAACCGTGGGGTGGTGCGGAGGAGAAAATCATGGGCCAAAGGTACCGTACGGATAAGTTGATAACTTAGTGGCCATGAGATCATGCCAAGGCGGTCAGTTCAGTTGACAGCTTTGACGCGGGGAAAGGTCCATCCATAAACAATCGCCCGTGCTTCTAGGGCTGCTGAAGGGTCTACTTAATCGGCCATACGCTTATTGAGAATACAGTTTGGAGACAGACACATCATGAAGACATTGCATTCGCTATAGATATGCTTCTATAGTTCATCCCTATGGTGGGGAACCTCGGTAGCTTCAAACATCCTCTTCTTAGGATTCCTTGGCAGCTCCGCTTGCCTCTGCCTTTCCTCCGGCGAGATGTCGTCTATGTTGGTCTCCTCCTGCTGTTCAACCTCCTCTACCAATTCACCGATTTGGTCAATCAAGCGGTCCTCCTCCGTTTCATCCGTGACAGGGACCTGGTCCCATACTGCCTCTTGCTCCGCACTCTGCACGGTCGGTTCCACCTTCGGAGCCACAACCGGGGCCTCTTGCACCAACTGAGCGACAGGAGTAACAGAGTCAGAGGCCTGGACTGCCCGACTAGTTATGCCCACCACGCCTAGAATTGCAAAGGTAGATCGTGCCAGTAGTCGCACCGGCAGCCACACAAGCCACCACAGAGGACCGTAAAGTATGCGTCGGAAGACGAGCCAAGCGATAGTTCCGAGAAGAATGTAAAACGCCGTCTCCAGGTACCAAGTATCGGATTTCTGCGATCGAAGGAGAGAACCGACGAGGTTTCGCGACGAGGCGAGGAGCGAGTCCAGGTCCGTGTAAGATTCCGACAGCGACGAGAGGACAGCGGTGGATTGCTCTGTAGATTCGCGACAAACGGTTAGCTCCGAGGCGTTCGCTCTAGATAATTCTGCAGGACGCAGCAACAGCAACGAACCTAGTGTCTCCTGCGCGAATTGGCTCCGCGACAACTCGGACTGCATCAACTGATGCGTCCGCCGCAGCGCCGCCGTAACATCATTCGAAGCGTTCTTCACGATCTCATCCTGCGTCAGCTTCTCGGCGGGCTGATTTTTCCTGTCGGCGCTCTGGGACCGGGCAAACAGCAACTCCCTCTCTTTGCGGCGTGCGGTCTCGGCATTGCGTTTCGCTTGTAGCTGCGCGTTCCGGAAATCTCTTCTTGTCCTGCGTTCGTTGTTAGCACCCATTCTGTCCCGAAATCTGGCCTCGATAGATCTAGACTCCATGAAAAGCTCATACCTCTTCAGTTCCTCTGCTAACCGCCCCGCCAGCGCGACCACACGCTCCCTCTCTGATTCCTTCTCGTTGTCCAACGCCTTCCGTCGACTCTCGGGACCTGCCTCGAGACCCTCCACCTCCACCCGCAACAACTCCAACTGATCCTCCGCCCCTTTCAGAAACGCATGGATCTCCGTCCCAAGCTCCAGGCGCGCGTCATCACCCTGTCCTATGGCGGTCGTAAAGTTCTGCAGTCGAGAGACCAGCGGATGGATATCAGCCAGAGCGGTCGAGAGCTCCTTTAGTCGGGACTGGAGTTCCGTCAACGAAGACATTGTTATTAGTCGATGATAAGACGATCACTCGTAGCGCATAACACGGAGTTCGCAGAAATGCGCCACGCACAATAGAGCAAAAATGTCTTGTATGTAAAAAGTGAACGAAGAAAGTATAAAGAGGGGGGGGGGATTGTCGATGTGTCCGTTCCTCAACGGCAACAGCGTCATCGGCTTCCCGTATCTAAACGCTCCCCCGGTACGGAGAGATTCCATTCATTCCTGAGGCATCCAGAGAATTAGCACTGTTTGCATCTACGACAAACACACACACAGTGACCGACACACCTCCCGATCCTCCGCCGGAATTATCCAGGCCTTGGTGTTTTGTAGATACAGCAAAAAAAAAAAGCGGTTGAACTTGAGTGGTTTGAAATTCTTCTTCGATAGCTGCTGTGCGGGCAATCCTTCCTTCGCTCCCTCTTCCCTCCTCAGATCATAATCTCCGTCATCAATCGCAATCGCAACTCCGAGAGAGTTTGAAAAAAAGTCACTGTAAGTCCATCGCACTCTTCCCCCCAGAACAACCCAAGTATTCTAACTCGATATACGACGCAGCCCATCTCACCCTCTTCTCAATACACACAGCAAGATCTCAAAATGTCCATCCCAATCGCCACCATCTCCACCTTCCGTACAACCTTCAACCCCTGGGCCCGCAGCGCCCGTCCCTGCCGCCTGCTGCTCTCGCTCCTCCGCAACCCCTCGACCGTCCCGGCCTCGAGCGGCACGCACATCGACATCAAGGTGACGCAGCTGCCGCGGCACTCAACGAAGCCGGCCGAGCTGGTGGTCGGCTTCAAGAACGGGAAGGAGGTGAGCATCCCCGTCGGGGAGCGGGAGATGCGGATCGGGGATGTCATCGAGGAGATTGCCCGCGTAGGGCGCGTGATTGAGCGCGAGGAGACGTTGAAGGGTTGATTTTATTTCCGGCTGTTTATTTCAATTCTGGATTGAAGATTTGATTGGAGCGGAGAATGAAGGAAGAAGCCAGCAGGGGACAATGAAGGGGATGTGTATTGCGCCAGATATCCTACGGCCCTGGAGGATGACGGGCAATCTTGGTGCTTCTGTCCTTGTATTTTTGGACGTGCGCAATGCTATCGCGGCATAGGTGGAAGTCATCAGGACTTTGTTTCGTGACCTGTATTATCTATCATGTTATTCACGAACATGTGTATATACCAGCTACTGATTATTATTGTTTTATTTGTTTTTATATTTTTATAGACTACCCATCATTACATTCTCCCACTGACATAATGGCAATCGCTACGATAAATAACGTTCGTAAGAAGAGAAGTTTGAATGTATAAATCACCCGTAGGTGGGGGAATAAGTTTCGATTTTAGGGTTTGTACAAATTTAGACAGCTTAGACAGCGGCACCGGAGATGAAGAACCACTTGTCAACGCTGCCGTCAATGGGGGCAGGAGGAAGGTTCTCGCCCTTGGGGATGCTGGCGAGCTTGGAAGCGTCGGCGCGCTCAACACCCTCGTAGGTGCTGGTAGCACTAGAAGCGGGTCAGTCAAAACTTCTTTGTGGATGGGATCAGGAATAACGTACATGCTGACATCACCCTTGGGGGCCTGGCCAGAGATCAGCTTCTCCCAAGCATCACGGCACTCGCGGATGACCTCCAGAGCGTACCTGCAATAAATTAGCACAACTATTACATGCATCAACCATCGATCGGGAACGTACTTCTGGTTCTTGCACTCGCCGGAGAAAGCGAACTGGTTCTCGGGCTTTCCGTCGGGGATCTTGTAGATACGGAACCACTCGTTGGTGGCACGGAGAAGACCGGGGAGGTGACGCTCAACGTCCTCAACGTCGTTCAGCTTAGCAGCGAGGGGATCCTTGATGTCGATGACAATGACCTTCCAGTCGGTCTCCTCCTCGTCAAGCAGGGCCATGACACCGAGGACCTTGACCTGCTTGACCTGACCGGGGTAGCCGACAAGCTCACCAATCTCGCAAACGTCGAGCGGGTCGTTGTCACCCTTGGCCTTGGTCTCGGGGTGGACGTTGTTGGGGTCTTCCCAGGTCTATACAAGCTGTGAGATGGTGGCAGGCCAAGGAGGGGCAACAGCGGGGGGGAAAAAAAACATACCTGGGGGAAGGCACCGTAGTTCCAGAGGTAACCCTTGTGGGGGAAGCAGTTACGGACGTAGCGGAGCTTGCCCTTCTTCACATCCTGCTTGATGGGGTTGAGGAACTCCTCCTTGGAGATCTGGATGGCAACAGGGGGTCAGTTGTGTTGGTCGAGGGTGGACGTGGCGGGGTAAATGTTTGGGCCTGGGTACCTCCTGCTTGGCGTTGGTCCAGCGGGGGATCTCAACAACCATGTTGAAGATGTTGTTGGCCTCATCGGCGTAGAGGGGGATGTCGTGGAAGGGAGAGACGGGCTTGCCATCCTTCTCGATGTAGACACGGTGCTCCAGGGTGTTGGCCTGACCGATCTTGCGGACGGTGTAAGACATGGTGGGCGATTGTGTAGTAGCGGACACGGAAGAAAGGTGTCTAGCTAAAAGAGCAGTACGGTTTGAAGCGGACAAAACCGATGAACGAAGAGGGAAGGAAGAAGAAGGAGAGAGAGAAGAAGAGGAGGAGGAGGTAGCGGCGGGAGAAGGAGGAGGAGGGGGGGACGGGGCTTGTTTGGTGGGGGGAGCCAGCGTTGCGGATGTGCGACAAACGGACGAACAGCAAGACTCAGAAACAGTGCGGCGGGCGACTATCGGACTCCAGGCGGTGGGCAACCGGAGTGCTGACACTGGTCCACGACTAACCCCCAGGAACATTGAAATACGACAGCCTCAATGTAAAGTTTAAGAGGTCGAGGGGATTTGATTGATTGGGTCGATTTGTGTGGTATACACTCAGTAAATGGTTCTACCCAGGGGATGTCAATTGTTATAACTAGAGGTGAGTCCAAGGAGGATGAAGGGATCGGGAAAGAAAATCGGACGGGAGCAGAAAAAAAAGACGCCAACCAAAACAACCTCGGACGCTTTCCTCCTTCTATCTCGGCAGCTGCTGCTGTCACGGCACCAGTACGGATCTACGTATGCACCTCGAGATGTCCTCTCTACCAGTACGTGATTCTGACCACCTGCAGTTGAGGCTGTGCCTACTTGTACACTGGAGATTGTGCATGGGTTTACCTAGGCTAGTGGGAACACCCTGCAGATGACACCATTTCCCTTCTCTGCCTTTTGTTCCTCTCTTCGGTGAGGACGAATACCCTGGCTGGCCTTGGATTGCACCCGCTCCACCAGTACCGTTCCACTTATGGAGTGGATTGTCCTTGGGTGGGTGGCTTCCTCCTTATTTTCAGTCTATGAATATCCTTGCATCTGTACCAACAAGTCTTTTGGGGTCCATTTACACGAATCAAGTTACTGTACATTAGTCAATTGACATAATATCATCCACATGTGCGCCATTGCCTCTTCAATCGCTCAATCGCTCATCCCCTGCAATGTCAGCAGGTCTTGGCAGGTACTCCTACGGATCGGACTAACCGGCAGTCCGAAGTGAGTTGAATTCCTGCTGGATGAGTAAGCTGTAAGGCGAGAAAAACCTTATCGTATATCACCACGTGATCTGGCACTTTTTCGTTCTCCGCCTCCGTCTCGATCTAGAAACTCGGATAAACTTCGACTTTCTTGACAATCCAGAATCTTCGGTCGTTCTCGCAGATCAAAGCTAAAGTCAGCTTTACGACTTGACTACACTCAAATAAGGCATCAGAAGCTTAAACCCTCCAAGAAATGCTATGCTAAGCTTCCTACGACCCCTCCGCTCCGCAATGACCTCGATTCCTCGTGTCCCCATCCCCCCCAACGGGGTCGACTACCGCGGCAAAGTCGTCCTGGCTCCGATGGTGCGCTCCGGTGAACTTCCCTGCCGTCTTCTCGCCCTCAAGTATGGCGCCGACCTTGTTTGGGGCCCCGAGACCATCGATCGCGCCCTGGCAGGCGCCGTCCGCCGCGTGAACCCCCGCAACGGCACCATCGAATTCACCCGCACCCCCTCCAATGGCGGCCGCACCGAGAAGGCCACCCAGGAGTCCGTCATCTACCGCCTCGATCCCGTCCGTGAGAAAGGCAAACTCATTTTTCAGATCGGCACCGCCACGCCCGAAATCGCCGTTGCCGCCGCCAAGCTCGTGGCCGGCGACGTCGCGGGCATCGACGTGAACTCAGGATGCCCGAAGCCCTTCAGCACCAGCGGCGGAATGGGGGCCGCGCTGCTCAGAACCCCGGACAAACTCGTCGCGATCCTCGAGACACTGGTGCGGGAGGTCGGCAACCCGTACCAGATTGGCATCTCGGTCAAGATCCGGCTGCTGGACCGGGAGGACCCCGAGCCGACGCGCGCGCTGGTCTCGCGACTCGTCAAGACCGGCATCACGGGGCTGACCATCCACTGCCGCACGCCGCCCATGCGGCCCCGCGAGCGCGCCATCCGCGACCAGCTCTGCATGATCCGGGATATCTGCCACGAGGCCGGGGTGGCGTGCGTCGTCAACGGCGACGTCGCCAACAAGGACGACGGCCTGGCCCTGATGCAGGAATACGGGGTCGATGGCGCGATGATCGCCACCGCAGCCGAGGCGAACATGTCCGCGTTCCGCACGGAGGCCGAGGGCGGCCTCCTACCCTGGAAGGAGATGGTCCACGACTACATGCAGTTTTGTCTCGAGTCCGAGAACCGCTTCGGCAACACCAAGTACCTGCTGAACATCTTCGTGCCGGGCAAGTCCCCCGAGGCCCACCGCTTCAAAACCGCCCGCACCTACGTCGATACCTGCCATGCCTTGGGCTTCGAGGACCTGATCCCCGCGGCGACCCGCGTCGACGAGATCCTGGGACTCGCGGACAAGACCACGAACAAGAACAACGACACCAACGATGCCGTCAGCAAAGCCGTGCAGAACGCTCTCGAGAAGAATGAAACCGCTCGCGCGGCCGGCGGCGGCGGCGCCTCGCGCTCGAAACCCGCTTCTCCCGTCCTCTCCCACGCCGGCGGCCCGATTCGCACCAACTCCATCCCTCCCCCTACCAAAACTGTCACGGACGTCGATCCTGCTGCTGCTGCTACTGAAGCCGTCGCTGCCATGAATCAGGAACTTGCCGCATAACTCCCGCCTGCACAGTATACTATCGCATGATTCACCCCTTCTCTGCTTATTAACCCCTCATGTAATTACGCCTTTGTTTCCCTTTCTGTATGAACTCGTTCTCTGCGATTGCATTATCCGGTGTTGAAGATTGCTCTCGGTTGGTTTGGCTTTTGTTGCTTTGTGCTTAGAACTTTTAGATTCCCACCTTATGTTCTTCAATTGAAAAGGCACATACTCTCCTTTATAAGAACCAGGAAAACTGGATAGACACTCGACCCCAGGCAGCACAATAGACCACTCACTCAGTCGAATGACTGTAGCCAGAGGCAATGGCCTTTTGAACATAGAACATAGAACCCTAGAATCCGGCAAACCGACCAAGAAGAACAAACGGGCTAGGAGGAGAACGAGAATAGATCACAATCATTCGAACCATTACCGTCCTGACCTCGCTTTCTTATATCCAACTCTCAATTAATGAATCTAGTCAACCGGACATTGTGGAATGCAAAGACACAGCTACAAGCAATTGTCATTGTCATCAGCCCTGAACATCCTCAGGCGAAGAAGCATTGCGGTCATCGCATGCATGATCATCGCCTCGGTGGACACGCCTGTTTCAATCGTCATTCAGTTTCTTTCTAGCTCTATTCCGCCTCGTTTGCTTCTTGAGATGTATGTGTATGTTCCCATTCAAAAGGGAGAGGACGGGGATAAAAGAAAGGTACGAAGGGGAAGCAGCAGCAGGACCGCGGTACACGCAGTAGATGAAAGCTCAGAAACGAGGAGATTGCGTGGGGCGAGTTGAGGGGAAGTGTAATTGCGCCGACAGTGTATCCTTAATCTGAATATGATGAAAATGCACCAGACACCAGTCAAGAGAAATGGGAAATCATCGAAACAGATAACCACAAATGGTTTAAGAACGACCAAAGCATAAAGGTTCGCTGATTAGATGTGTGTAAGATTCCGTCATCTGCAAGGCCCCAGGAAAGGGTTCCTCTTTCTAAACAAGAACGTAAACGTAAACAGAACTCGCCAAATCGAGTTCTCCGTATTGAACAAGCGTATCATCACAAACGGCAAGAGAAAAAAAAGTGAAGTAATAGTGTAATAAACAACAAAGTACAACCGGAATGTCTATCATCAAACCAAACCCAAGCTCTCATATGCAAACGCAACAATCATGACTTGTGCTCCATATCCGCAAGAACCATATTCTCGACCGCCTTCATGCCCGCGTCTTCCGCCTTCTTGGACTCGGCGGCGTCCTCCCCGGCCACGGCCTGGTCGAGGGCCAGCTTCGTCTGGCCGAGCGCGTAGATCTGCTCCTCGATGGTGTCCTTGGTGACAAGCCGGATGACCTCCACCTCGCGGGTCTGGCCGACCCGGTGGGCGCGATTCTCGGCCTGGACGTCTTCCTGGGGGTTGAAGCTGGAGTCGAAGATGATGACCTTATTGGCGCACGCCAGGTTGATACCCGCGCCGCCGGCCTTGGTCGATAGGAGGAAGACGGGGATGTCGGTGCGCTCGTGGAAGGCATCAAGAATCGACTGCCGGTCTTCGACGTTGGTGCGGCCGTCCAGGCGCACGAAGCCGAGGTGTTCGTGCTCCAGCACGTTCTCCAGGATGTCCATCACCATGGTGAACTGCGAGAAGACGAGGGTCCGATCGCCCTTTTCCTGGAAGCGTCGGAGGAGCTCGCAGAGCTTGGCCACCTTGCCCGAGTCCATCCATTCGTTGTTCTTGAGGGCGAATCGGCTTAGTGCCGGGTATTTGACGCACATCGAGTGGCATTCGTAGTCGTTGTAGGGCTGAAGTTCCTCGAAGATGATGTCTGGGTTGGATAGGGAGAACTGTTCCTCTCTCAGGCAGGCCTTGGCCATGCGGCTGAGGATGGAATCAGTGTAGTGGCGTCTGTACAGCAATGGGTGAATGGCTGCTTGGCGAAGTTTCATGAGGATGTTAGCGGATTTGTTGCCAGTTTTCTTGCCCGCGGCGCGATCGGCCAGTAGCTTCCGGACTTCTTCCTGTTCATGCTCGTAGATTTGTCGCTGCGCGTCGTTAAGTTCGCAGTACTCGACATGGGAGATCTTTGCAGGCAGATCGATGACCTGGTGCTTCTTGCGTCGTAGCACAAAAGGCTTCAGCATCGATTTCGCGCGTTCAATGCGCTGCGCAGAAAGCAATGCGGAGTGTGACTCGTCGACGGTCTTCGCTTTGTTCGCGAAGATGTGGTGGAGCTCATCCTTGCGCTCGCGGAACACTTTGGGAAGAATAAATCCCAATAAGGAAGCCAGCTCTTGTAGGTTGTTCTGTAATGGCGTACCCGTCAACAGAAGTCTGAAACGTGCCGGGATGCGAATCAGCTTCTCGTATAGCACCGAGGTACTGCTCTTCAACATGTGTCCCTCGTCATAGACACAAACGCAAAAGTCCATATTGCGAAGAAAGTGTGCATCAACCTTGCCCTTCGCAATGGTATAAGTGGTGATGACAACGTTGATGCTGTCTCTGTTATCCTCAATCGTCTCCCGGATCTCCGCACGCTCAGCCTGGCCGGCATAATAAGGCATGACAGAGAGGGTAGGGCAGAACTTTTGAAATTCACGCAGCCAGTTCTCGATTGTCGATGCAGGTACGACAATGAGATGTGGCCCCTTGAATCCCTTCTCATAAAGATGGGCCAAGAAGGCAATGACTTGGCAGGTCTTTCCCAGACCCATATCATCGGCCAAGATGCAACTCAATTCGTGTTCGAACAGTAATGAGAGCCAGTTGATACCCACGATTTGATAGTTCTTCATCTTCAAGTCATCTCGCATGATTGAAGGCTGGGAGATGAATCGTCCTTTGCGTGCGGGCGCCACACCACCAGGCGCGGGCCCGTCACTATCCTCATCCGAAGGTTGGCTTGCTGGGGTTCCTATGCCGGAGTCATGCGACTGAGAATCTCTAGGATCGATGGATACCAGCTCCAACTCTCCGTCTTTCTTCCCGAAGATATCCACTCCCCACTTCTTCATTTCAGCTGCAATCGGTTTACCAAGCGCTTCGCAGCGCGCGACAAGAGAATCGACGGCGTCGTAGCCCACCCACATATCAACACACTTATCCACAATCTTGTCGCCAATTGGCTTGGGCGTTTTGCGACCTCGGGCCCCCTTCGGCTTTGCATCTTCCTTCACCGGGGCAGGAACGGCGCGGACCTCGTCCAGAGACCTAAATGGTCGATGCGAGATTACATGCTGTGCCACTTCCTCGGTAATAGCAGCAATATCCGCCAGGTCCAAGACGCTGCATGTGTTGAAGAATTTTAGTAATTTGAGATCGAACTGCACATCGCCTACCACTTCCTCGACGTCAGAGTCGGAGTCATCGTCGATGATGATGGCTTCTGGAGACTCCGAGCGCCGGGGAGATTCCGGTCTCCGCCCCTGCACCAAGCGACCCGGTTTCTTGGGAGGGGTTTCCGCATCAGGTTCCGGGCGAGGCTGAGGACGAGACTCCGAGCGCACGGGGCTCGGGGAAGAAACCCGGCTTTTGGGCCCTCTCATTAACCGTCTGCGCGGTTTCGCCTCGTCGTCCTCCGCCTGCGCCGCCGGGGGCTTTTGCGCGGCGAGAGTCCTCTGCAAGTTCGCCGCGGACCACTTGTCCTGGATGGTCCCTCTCGCTTTGATCTGCTGCTTCGCCGCCGGGGCCGCATTCGCCTGGCGCGACATGGACAATTCATCCTCGGCAGAGACCTCCTTCCCTTCCGCACTGGCCAGGAGATCCAGGGCGTCCTCGTAGTTTCCGCGCTTTGCTACGAGCGCTTGCACGCAGGCCTGCACAGACTTCAGCGGCATGACCTTGAGCATTCGTTGCACCTTGATCTTGATATTATAGTCCTCGATACTATCGAGCGAATACTGCCCGTCGACGGGCTGGGCGCGTGAAGGGCCATCCTGCCGAACTTTCTTGACGGCCATCCCTTTCGGCGTGGGGTCCATCTGCGCGGCGGGGCGTTTCGCAGGGTTGTAGATAGCGCTGGTGGTGATCTCCTTGAAGCGGTCGATCGGCGAGTCCGCAACCTTGTCCGGACTGCGCGAGGACTTGGTGAACATGGCGGGTTTGATGTCGGGGTTTTGTAGGTTCTGAACATCCTCGTCGGAGGACCCGCCTCGATACGTGGGGCCGTCATCTTCGAGATCGATCACCGGGGCACGCTTCGCCGGGCCTGCAGAGACCGGCGGCCGGAACATGGTGCCGCTGGGGGCCATCAGGTTGGAGAGACGACCAGCGTTCGGGGTCGGACGGGAGGGGGAAGAGGTAGGACCTAGCGGGGAAGAGGCGGCGACTTGTACCACGGAGGCGCCCTTCGCAGTATACGGATTGTCGACCAGCTGGGTCGGTTGAGTGAAGCGCTGAGAGGCCGGGGTCAGCGATTGAGCGGCCACCGGTTGGTGGTGAGTAGCAGGAACGGTGGCGACCGTCTCATATTGGGTATCGTCTTTGGTTGGAGTACCGGGAACGACTTTTTTGTCATTCACAGGAGAGTCAGGCACTGAGTCTTCCATGACGGAATGACTCTTCAAAGAGAGGATTGGGGGTTTGAGAGGGTGAACGCAGAAATGTCGTCATGCGCCAGGGGAAATGGAGAAGTAGAGAAAGGGGAGAGTGTCTCTGGAGTGTGAGGTGAGAGGAAGAGAGCGCAGGAGGGAAAGATTAGCAAGGCGGAACAGGCGAATTGATTGCCTCCTCCAACACGGTAAGCACCGTAAGTAAAGTTAAGTTTCGCTGGGTTTTTCTCCGCAAAACGCGCCCAGACGCGATCGATCACGTGAAGTGGCGCTTCAATTAAGCCCAGGAAAGGCAGTTCTGTGTCGCTGGTGGTGAGACAGCCGCTGATCGTCTATATATACTTACTAGGAGCTTGATTTAGGTACAACACCCATTTTATTCTCCTTCGTGTTCGTTGCCTGATATTGTCAACATTGTTGCCTTTCTGTCCAAACAAAAAGTGTTCTCCAAGATCTATCCGATCGGGGACCAATCAGCAGCCCGAATCTACTGGATTCCGGGATGAGTTCACCCGCATTTATGGCCACTGCAATAATCAAGTGTTGTTAAGCCGGATTGTTTATTGTTCCTGCTCCTCCCTCTAATCAGCTCAGCAAGATAGGTGTCTGATCGAGAAAGCCAATACTACTCAGTAATAACAGTGTTACGCTCTAATCTTTATTCCTGAGCAACCCATTCACCCATTCACCCATTTCCAGACCTACCCTGCCTGACACGTGAACCGGCAATCATTAAACACCACCACCATCGCCATCACAATCATTGTCACCACCTCCACAAGCCAGTCCACAATGTCCGCTCGTCGCGCAGTCGATAAATCCTCTGCTAAGGATGTGGTCACTCCGTCAAAATCCGAGAAGTCCTCTGACTCGGATGTAACCCCTGCAGTTCCCACGTAAGTGCATCCAATTCGTCCCCAGATTTGGGAGGGACTCTACGCCACATGGCCCGCTGTTCGTGGTTGGCCCCATGCCCTATATATCGGGGATAATTAGTTCGGCTACCTGAATTTCATCAAATTGAAGCAGAGCAGCTCGTGCTGTATTGGAAGGTGTGGAGACACGGCCGTCACTGACAGTTGTACCAGAAATGTTATCATGAAACTGCTGGGCTTCTCCGCCGCCATGGTGATTGCACCTATTGGCATTTACTTTATCACGGTTGATTTCATCGGTGGTACGTTGTCCTAGGAGTATTCTTTCTGGAAGAGCAAAAAAAAAAGGCATGGTGTTAACCAGGACATTCAGGAAGTGCCACTGTCGGCGGCATCGTTGCAGCCATCATGGCCAACATCGTCCTCTTCTCCTACGTCTACGTCGCGTGGAAAGACGATCAGGCGGAGAGAGAGGCCGATGCCAAGCAGACAGAGAAGAAGGCGCAGTAGTGCGGATTTTCGAGTATGATTTGGTCTTTGTTTTCAATATCATTCAATACCAGGTGTTTGATCTACGGCGTTCCAGGGGCAGTTGCGTGTATGCTATGTATCTATCATGTGTCTATGGGTGATTGCTCCAGAATATCAATTTTGCAAGTCCTAATGGGACCGAGCATCGGTGCTTACAGTCAGGCGTAGACCGTTGTTGTCCAATCGCAACACGCACTACGCTAGCAGACTGCCGATACTCCTAGTCATGCTGTCGAGGGTTTGGGAGGTGTGGGCAAAGGGCTTTATCACAACCAGGGTATAGGGAAACCGCGCCCTGGGATGCGTTTGCTAGGCTTGGAGAAAGGCCATCCAGGAGATCAGACATCGGGCCAGATTAAGGAAGAATGATATGATTAAATCAAGTCGGGCGCCTCTTGACAAACTCCTCCAAATCAGCCTTGGTCGCCACGCCGAGCACGAACTTGCGCGACGCATCTGTGACAACCGCGAAGGTCTGCTTAGCCCGGGTTGCGCCACAGGCATCGGTCTCGCTCTCGAAGAATTGTTCCAGCTCCTCCAGCGGGGTCTCCATCGTGATCACTTCGTATGTGCCTCGCTTGCGGTTGAACCGCTGCATGGCAGCGGAAACTGAGTCGGTTTCCTTCACGGCGCCCTCCTTCAGCAATTCCTTGAGGCGGGGGATGCTCAGGTATCCGAGGAGAGAGCGTTTCGTCGAGGAGATGACGGTGAGGTGTGTGTAGTCGCGCTCGTACGCAGCGAGTAGAGCAGAGGAAATGGGGTCGTCGGGGGAGACAGACAGCGCCGGGGGAGGGTCGAGGTCCTCGATGGTGGCCTAGATTCGCAAGTCAGTTTTCTGAGAGAGTCCCCGTATCTTAGAATAGCGTCGACTGACACCACGGTATTTGTCGGCCCAGGCGGACTGCGAGACCGGCTGCTGTGCATCCTGAGCGAGCTTCTGTTGGGCGAATGCCTCACTTGCGCTCAAGTAAGAGGCCATGGTGGGAGGTCGTAGTGGTGGTAGTAGAAGTGAGGGCGGGGTATGAGAGGACTGAGGGGTTCGTTCGCTTGGTAAAGCACGAAGCTCTCAATTCGACAACAACTGTCGGGGAGTGAAGTGAGATTGCCGGGTTCGGACGGCGTGGAAATGAACAGGGGCGGTTGATATTGCGTGAGTCAAGCATCCACTCGGTCACTGTCAGGTGGTAAGTTAAGTGATCGGGACCAAAATTCAATCATCGCCGAGCGGGCCTGCCAGTTGGTGGGATCAGCCGAAACGGGTTAGCCTCCACCTGGCTCCCGTGCGACGTCATGAACTGGCAGAACCGCCGCCCATCTTCCACCCCCTCATTGTCATCACTTCCTTTCCCCATTCCTCGAACCCTTCCATCCGGAAGACATCACTGAAGCTCCACACTTTCCGTGGTCAAAGCTTTCTGTTTTCAGCTCTCGTCGTGCCTGGTGACTCAAAGCAAAGGGTTCCAAGCTTGCCGTCGATCAATTCTTCCATACTCTCTTAACTCCGCTCTATCTCCACCGCTGATAGTGGGGATCGGTTGTAGACACTCATAGATAAGGAGCCTGTCAGTCCAGCTTTCTGGAGTTTTGTCCATCAGCCATCACACTTTTCACTGTGAATTACCCTAACATGCTTTCCAGCGCGACTGAGTTATCCTAGCCATCATGTTTCCAACTGAAGGCGTGATCGCGCAAGCCTTTTCCTCTCAGCATCCACTGGGACAATCCAGCTCGCACCCTCAGCCGTCGGCAGCGCCGGAAATGCAGAAGCGAGAGCCATTTCCTGCCTGGAGCGTGATTGAAGAAACAAAGAAGAAAGCAGACGCGCTGGCTAAGGAAGCGACTCGAGAGCTCGACCTTGCAAGCCAGAAGGCTCAAGCCAAGACAGGCAAGATTGAACCATGGACTCCCAAATACTATGCGGCTTGCACTGTCGGTGGACTGCTTGCCTGCGTGAGTATCAGACCATGCATGGGATAATCTTATGTTAGAGTGTATACGATCCTTAAGGTACTAATAGTTGCCCCGTGCATAGGGTCTGACCCACACCGCTGTGACCCCTCTTGACTTGATCAAGTGTCGCCGTCAGGTCGATCCGCTCCTGTACAAGAGCAATCTAGAGGCATTTCGCACAATTCGTGGGGCAGAAGGATTGCGAGGAGTATTTACTGGCTGGGGACCAACCTTCTTTGGTTACAGCGTAAGCGTGGGTGTCCGTGCACTCACCCTTTCTTACTGACTCGTTGAAAGGCCCAAGGTGCATTCAAGTACGGTGGCTATGAGTACTTCAAGAAGTTCTACAGTGACCTTGTAGGCGTGGAAAACGCGACTCGATGGAAGACTTCTTTGTACCTGGCTGCCAGTGCGTCTGCAGAGCTTATCGCTGACGTAGCCCTCTGTCCGTTTGAGGCCATCAAAGTACGTATGCAGACAACCATTCCTCCGGACATCCGGTCGACGTTCACCGGCATCAACAACGTGGTCTCTAAAGAGGGCGTGGCTGGGTGAGTAGCATCCTATATCTGCCATATGGTCGCAAGGTAATCGCTGACCTATTCAGTCTATACAAGGGTCTCTATCCGTTGTGGGGGCGTCAAATTCCGTACACCATGATGAAGTTCGCCTCCTTTGAGACCATCGTTGAGATGATCTACAATTACCTGCCCGGCCAGAAGTCCGACTACAACAAGGGTGCCCAGACTACCGTGGCCTTCACTGGTGGCTACCTGGCTGGTATCCTTTGCGCACTTGTGTCGCACCCCGCCGATGTGATGGTCAGCAAGCTGAATGCCAACCGTCAGCCTGGCGAAGCTTTCGGTGCTGCGATGAGTCGCATCTATAAGGACATTGGATTCCGCGGCCTCTGGAACGGTCTTCCCGTCCGTATTGTCATGATCGGCACCTTGGTAAGTCATCCTTCTCCAACCTTGGGGATTCTGACTGACAGCATACCACGTATAGACCGGACTTCAGTGGATGATGTACGTGTTACCTCATGACCATCACAGTCGATCTTTTCTCAGACGGGAGCTAACTTGTGACAGTTACGATTCGTTCAAGATCTTCATGGGTCTGCCGACGACCGGCGGAGGCCCAGCTGCGGAGAAGAAGTAGTGGTGAGTAGATGCTTTGGCCACTTTCAATGGTCTTCTCTGTTTTGTATGCACTTTGTTAGTCCCTACACAACGTACTGTAGTTATCTCCGAGAAGGGGTAGTCAGCATTTCCGTACAATGATGAGATTATTTGCACTTGTGGCTGGATCAGCAGCAAGCACCGAGGCCGGTGATAAAAAAACAGGGGCAGGAGGGCAATCTGCGCCTGAGGCCTTATCGGCGGACAAACCCGCTTTAGTCACACATGGAACCAATCAAACCCGGAGGAACATCTTATCAGTATCAAGACGTCATCTCCCCTGGCCGCGCATGGCTGGAGATACGACCACTACGGATGTGAGTAAAGTAACTTCCAGTTCGCTCAATCATTAGCCGATGGGAAAGACGCCTGGTCCTGCAGCCCTTTAGGTGGGACTGACACTAGAAGAGATTAAGTTTTCCACGGTCCCTTGACCTCGGAAGCGAGAGAGTCATCTCGAACCCTCCGAAGGCGCGGTGGCTCAGCCCGACAAAGCACTAGGGCAGCATCCGTAATCCGTTGCGACACGAGCTATTATATATTGAGACGAACCTCCATCCCGCCACCATAATCCGGGCACATTCTCTTTCGGTTCCCTGCATATTGAAGCACGCACAGAGATTGCACAGTCTCTACTTCAAAGACGACTCTTTTTTCAATCTACAAGGTATGTCAACCTCCCCCCTCCAACATTGCGCCCAATCTGTGCCCTCCATCACGTCGCATCGCATCCCGCTATCGCGCAATCGCCATCAGACAACTCAAACTAACCGCCCAGTTCCCAGACACCAGACCCCGAAACACACAGCGCAATTCCCTACGGGCTAGAAAGCGAAATGGGCGAACACGATCCCATTGTCTCGCACGGCCGAGGAGGTACGCAATCCGCCCCGAGGCTCGCATCCCAACCTCATCCTTATCTCCCTCCCTCCCTCCACCCACCGCACCACCGCACCAATCCCGACTCATCCACTACATTCATACTAACAACAACCCAGGCCAAGGCAACATCGGCGCCGACTCAACCGAGTAAAACCACCCTGCATCCAGCCCCCAAACCCCCGGCTCAAACAAACCCCCTAACTACAACCCGTTGAATAAATATAGATACGTCGACGCCGCCATCATCCGTGAAGGCGTCTACGGCGACCAAGGCGACGGCGCCTACTCCGCCGGTGTAAGCCACACCCACACCCTCTGCCCCTCTGCCCCTCTGCCCGGCTCCAACCCCCAGCAATCCAAACCCAAATCTAACACCAGGCCCAAAAGCGCGGCGGAGCAGGCAACATCGGCTCCCCGCACGTCCGTCCCACCTCGAAGGTGCCGCACGACGCGGAAATGATCCCCGAGCTGGCGATCCGGCAGTCCGTCGATGGGGATTATCATACTGGTGTATGTTTTGCCCCCCCCCCCTCCCCTCCCCATCCACCCTTTCCAAAACTCGAAACCCGGAACCCGAAACCCAAACCCCAAAATCCAGACAAAGATTCTTATGCCAGAAAGTGAATGCTGATTCTTTTTGTGACTGGGCTGGGCGGGTGTAGCGCGGCGGACAAGGCAACGTGCATCTCGACGAGGAACACCGCAAGGAGAAGGAGAAGAAGCATCAGCACCGGCATGATCAGTATGAGGGGTTGGCGGATAAATTGAAGTATAAGATTTTTGGGCGGAAGTGAATCGCCCACAAAATCACTGGGTGGGGTTTTCTCTGAAAGAAAGGGGGGATGGTATTTATGGAGGTGGTTGCTGCGGTGGGTTGTCTTCTTCTGTCTTGGGCTTGGATTTTTCTTTTGATTCCCTGGTTTGTTTGGTTGTTTGGTCGTTTACAATTACGAGTAAGATATTGGATGGAGAGGAGGTAGTGTTGGTAATAATTAGTCCATTTTCTGGCAAATCTTGCAATGTACTTCCTATACACCGTCTATAATAGGTATAATGACAACAGCACAATCAAGAACAAACGTAAAGATTGAGTCGAATGAAACCAAGCTCTCGGTTCTTTTGTCCATTCATTAAAGAGGATCGGTAGATTCGCCATTGGTATCGGGACAACATCAGAAATTGATTGGAGGAAACAGCAGTGGGGTAAAGGGGGTTCCATCAAATATCATAAAAGGAGAGCAAGGCATTCCGTGTATCATGGTCTCATCAACCCATCAACCTCATGCGAAAGGGAAATGAAAGAAAGAAAGAGTAATTACACGAGCGAACTCGAAACAAGAACGAATCCAACCCCACAAGAGAAGATACACAACCCACTCCGATAATCCCAGTGTTGTGCTCAGCGCGAAGAAAGGATGTTGTAGTAAAAGGAATGAAGGTGTTGGGGGGAATCTCCGTATGAACGCCAGTTTTGACTGTAGTACACCCGTACACCCATACAAGTATGAAAAAAAAGGAGGCGAGAAGAAAAGGACGAGGAAGAAAAGGACGACGGGCGTGTGAGAGAGGGGGCGATCACCAGGATCGTCGAATCGGGGGGTTGGTTTAGTTCTTGCTGAAGCGACGTTTGAACCAGCTCTTTCGCTTCGAATCATTGCTCGTCTCGGTGTCGTTGGTCGCTTTGCGCAGATGACGACGGGCGTTCGCCGCCGTGGGCGGTGGTCCACCTCCGACGGGGCCCCCGGCGTTGGGATCAACGGCTGGAGGATTACTGCTGCCAAAGTTGATGCGTCCACCGGCGGCGGCGGGCTGACCATTTTCGAAATTGGGACCCGCGCCGAACCCTTGGAACCCGTAGCTCTCGGCCATCTGCTGCTGCGGCTGTTGTTGTTGTTGTTGCTGCTGCTGCTGGTGGAACTGATCGATCGAGCTGTTGACCGAGCTTGGGTCTGTCGAATTGGCCCAGGTCTCGCCGTTGCTGCCTGAGCCCGAGCCAGATGCAGCAGTCACGTTGTCGTATGACTTTTGGTATGCGTGCTGCGAAAATCCGCTCTGTTCGGTGTTCATCCGCGCTTGGTGGCGTGGTCGCGGTCGGCCGCCGCCGCCATGATTGTAGGGGTAGTAGTTGTCGGCTTGGCCGTTGCCGTTCTCCACGTAGCTGTCCGGTCGCGAATAGGTGCCTCGGCTGTTGTGGTAGCCATTCTGGTCGTAGTGAGCTCTGCTGGAATACCCTCCGTTGGGCGCTGTAGTGACCCTCAATTAGCACAGTGAAACTTCGCCATTGGCAGACCAGCACGTTGACAATGCGAGGCGCATGCCTCCTGGTAGGTGAGGGAGTGAACGAGTCGTACCTCCGTAGCTTCCCCGTCGGCTGTACTCTGGCGTCGCGGGTGTTGATTCCTCTGCTGGGTATCATTAATTTGATGCCGGAATCAGCCTGCCGGAGTAAGGGGGAGAGACTCACCTGTCCTTGCGTACGACACAGGCCTACTGCTGTATGTTCCATAGATCGCAGCTTCGAAGGAACGGATAGTATCAAGCGGGCGCTCAAATCGCGGGCGCGTGGGATTCGAAAGGTCGGGATCAGCTATTTCAGGAAAGAGAAGGGGGAAACGGTCAGTTCAGAGGCTCTCCCGCATGAATGAATACATCTGAGACATTGAAGGGAGGCCAAACGTACTAATGACATTGCCGTACTGGTCCTTGTGCTGCATAGTCCGCAAGGAACCCAGCGTCGACTCTTCGAGGGCAACCGTATCTAGGAAACATAGTTAGTCGGGAAGGTTTGCGCAAAGCCACCCGAGCGACGTGGGAACCTGGCAAAAGTGGGTAAACAGTGTTGGGAATAGAATGGTAGGAAGAAACCAAAAAGGAGAATTGTCGGGGAAGTAGAGCTGGCCAGGAACTGCGATAAGGGGAAATTTCCAGGTAGAGACGTACTAGGCTGGGCTTCGCTCATAGCAACCATCGGATCGGCTTTAGAATGTAGTTGACGGCGATGCTTCTCTTCGGCGGATTCAGTGATTTGGATTTTCTTGCTGGAATGGCCCGACTGCTGAGACTTATTCGACTTCCCACTAAAACTGTAACCCCGATTATGCCTGGGAGGCGCGACCGACTGGGAGGTGGCCATGGTTATTTATCGTCGGGGACTCCTGCTTTAGCGCCTGATAACCAACAACTGCAGCAGGTTTTCGCAGCGCGCTGTCTTAGCTATGGCGGGCGGGTGTGGAGCGCAAGCACGATCCAGGTGGGAAATTGCCAAGGATTGAACGATGATCGCTGGCAACGATTTCTGCCTTTCTGTAATTGTCGGACGTTTTTGATCGCGGTTTCAGAGCTGCACGACTCAGTCCAGCCAACGAGAGGAACGAGCGACCAGAACGTGGGGTATTGAGACCACTTTTCTTATGGATCACGTTGCAGACTGCGGAGGGAGTCGAACCTCTATACACGTTCTCGAACAGGAGCTTCTGCGGCCGACGAATTGATTTGATAGTATTGTGGTTTAGTTGTTGTCTCGTCTCTTACAATGACAGAAGAACGACGGCGATGCGAACCAGGATTTGGTAGCTTCAAGTAGCGTCAAGTAGCATCAACGAGCGAAATGGTGGAGACCGTCGCTTTTTAAGGCTAGCAGTGAAGGTACGTATGTTGAACTACCGAGGACCCCACAGACAAGACAGTGAGTTCTTTTGTAAAGTGATGATTCTGTCAGAGCACACAAGTCAAGCGATTGTGGTCGTCACACAGCGATCGACAGTAGGGAAAATGACGCCGGTGCCAAAGTAGTATGTGGTAGGTCTGTTGAGGGGCGGGGGGATAATGGAGGGAGTTATATGCAGGATGGATAGGGGGAGAAGAGTTCAACAAGTCTTCAAACGAAGGTCAACAAGAAGTAACTGAAGAAATCAGAAGTCAAAGTCCAGCGACCATGGAGGGAGGGTCATTGAAGGTATTTGACTTGAGAAGTGGCCAGTGGTGTTGACGACAGGCGCCACGCAATTAAGAGGGGATCACTTCCTGGGAGTCTGGGAGTCTGGGACCCGATGAATGGCCAAATTGAGCCTCTGCCTATCAGATGGAGAGCGGACCACTGGGGAGGATCACCGGATCTTCTTTTTTTCTCTGCAACACTTGTTTGTCTCTATTAATACCTAGTACTCTAATACTCGTATGTGTGCGTGGGTGTGGGTGTGAGTGGGTGGGTAAGGTGGGTGAATAGTGAGTGGTAAGATCCAATGTTGACCGTCTGGGATAATCCTTTCATAATGAATGGATGAATGAATGCTGCCAAGTGCACAACTTCTCTTTCTTATCTACCCCAAAAAGCTTCGATCAAGTGTCTGTCCACCACCATCACCATCACCACTACTACTTACTAGTACTACTATCACTACCTGCATCACTCCATTGACCATCCGCTCAACACTCTGGACTGGGCTCAACTGAATCACAGTCTGTCAATTGGAGTATTGCATACTCAGCCACCTGCATCGCCAGTTTTGCCCCGGTTAAAGAAAGATGAGGCCCAGCTTGAATTGGGGATTGAACTTATCCTTGGGACCATCGGATATCTTCACAAACCAGGAAGAACCGGATACTTAGCCCAGTGTTACGCCAGCTTTCCCCTCCCCTGGTCATGATCGGCCAATCACTAGGGCAGAAAGGGGCCCAACCACCGTCTGGAAGACTCTCGTTGGCTTCAGATCCATGGACTAGGACTGGCACCATGTGTCACCGTATCCCCCCAGGGACGAACCTGGTCGAGATCATCACAAATCACAGATTCGCTGTCAGTCATGGATGGATGGATTGTACTGAGTACAGTACATTCTCTTGCCGCCTGATCGACCCCTGCTGGTGCGCACATCATCAATGCCGAATTCAGTCGACAATTCCAGACTCGCGTCGAAAGTAAGCATGGAAGATCAATCATCTAATTACCATCGACATCATTCTGACTCAAATTTGAGGGCCGCTCTCTGCCTTAAGGGTTTTTTTTTTTTTTTTTTTACTCATCACCCACGAACCAGTCGGCCATTTCTTCTTCCTCGTACATACTTATCAGTTCCAGACGGAACTCCCGACCATGGTTTATTTTTGGTCGGGACTCAGGCCACGCTTAGCCTTTTTGCTCCTTAGTTGCTTACTGGTCTTGCTTTTCCCGTATGCCGATACGACGGACATGATCTGATCCAGTCCGGTTTTTGGAGACAAGCCATGCAAAGCAGGAAGAGAAAATCTTTGTCCATCCACACTACACGACTGCTCACTAACTAAAGTCGCGGAACGCGCACTAGTCAACTATTCTGCTCCGTCGGCTTCCAATTGGCCTGGCATGAAAACTTGGAATATGTCTGCCTGTCGCCATCTCAAGTGGCTCGAGAAGACAATGCTGGTTGTCGCAGGTCGGACTGCAGCTCGCCAACATCACTTCCCACCCACTCAGCTGCTGTGTGCCAGCCATACTTGCTACCCTTCTGAGACAACGCCACACAAACCCAGCCCCTTCAATCAATAGTATGGAGACTGACTGACAGCATCTCTAATCAGGAAACAAGATGTTGCTGAACGATAGTGGTGGGGTCATGCCTCGCTGCAATGAGTTTTTTCTCTCTAACAGCCTCATTCGAAGAAACGTGAAGACAACTCCAGAGATAGAAAAGAAAAGCTGGATGGTACGGTACAGTAGTATGAAGGTCCAAGCAAGGTCAGGCTAAGACATTCCACTTTGATGGATAGATCCTTCCAGAATGGTTCTTCTCCTCGGTAGCAGCCATCACCAAGCCGCGCGGTTGACGAGATCGTGCCGATCCCCATCATTCTTCCTGCAGTGGGTCACGCTGGGGCGGGGATGGCGCTTACTTTAATTCTTCTTATTTACTCACTAAATTCCAACCAACGCTCCCCTGCAAGGGAGTCTCTTTAATCTGTGAACGGTTCTCGCAGTCTTGTTTCCGGACAATTGATCTTCTATCTCATCAACCTCGGTGTAATTACGCGGCCGTCGATCGACAGGACCTGCCAATCCCGATTCTTATGCATGCTCCGATGTAATGAACATATATCTCTCTCTCTTAGGTGCAGGATGAATTATATTGGTGTCCTTAACATCTCCACAGTCTCGCTTATCGTCATAAGTCTATTTTACCGCCTTCCTCCAAATACTTCCTCCGACCTACGCACTCGAATTGAACAACAGAGACATTGCGTATAGAGAGCTGGCACTCCGCCCGCCCGCGATCCGAGGAGATCCACAATCAATCAATCAAACCACGTTAGAACGACATCGTTGTTTCACCATACCTTGCTTAATCAAGTTAATACTCCTGTTGCCAGAGTAGCTACTTACTGTAGCTGCATACCTATACCTCGGTTACCGATCCCCTTGTCCTGCTGCCGATCTCCGCTATACCGACACTTTTGAAATAACGAACGTTGCGTTCCCGATGCCGTTGTTCTAACGAGGAGTTGCAATACACTCCACTAATCTGATATGAACGTGCCTTGCTCTGACGGACTACTCGGATCTGGACTCTAATATAACCCTCCCCATGTCCCCAACACTGATTCAAGTTTCAATATGTCCATCCTGAATTCCGATCATCTTGACGAAATGATTTCACCAATCACCGAACCTTGCCCCGATGAAGACCGGCAGCTATACAAAACGGAGAAGCGTAGGACATATCCCACAGCAAAGCCCGATCTTTATTGAGTGAGTTAGAACGCAATCTGCAGAAGTCGCAGTATCTGCCCCCATTCCCGCCGAGTGCCCTGCCTGTCTCAAGTCTGGCGAGGCCGATCTCCGTAAGGTCAACATCCCTAGTTTCAGTATCTTTTTAGATTCCCAAGACTGGGGAACCGGCGATATATGTTAATGTCCATTCTCTTGGGGAAATATACATTCGCGACATCCCTAAATCCCAGACTGCCCGCTTTCGATGGGCCATCCGAGGTGGTTCGGTATACATGGCGACGTGTCTGTGCTTAGGATCTGGGTAAATTCGGTGAGATGCAGTCGGCGAACGGTACTACTTGAGACATGACAGAAGAGATTCTGTTTATGACAGCTGCACCGGCGCGAGGGAAAGGGGCTATGGTTATGGATTGAGCGCGAAGGGTTGTGCTGTATTGAAGTTAGTAGTCGAATGGGTTCTCGGGAAGGCGGCGGGTATGGGAAAGCCCAGCTCATGATGGAAAGAGTGTTCCTAGGTTGGTTGTATCATGATGTACTGCTACGCGGAGTAACGATCTGTGCCAGAGTCATGTATGATTATTGCCACCGAACTCTCATCCCAGAACCCAGTCATAGAAATTATTTGGTCATACACCTCTTCAACTATAGATGCAGCCGCCGCCCTCCGTAAGCTTTGAACAAATGCATTAGCTTCTCTTGTCTGGTATGCACTGTCCCGTATGCTTTTGGAAAAAGGCCCAGTTGCCTGCCTCAGAAAAGTTTACATGGATGATGCTTTAGTCTCACCACAACCATAACCACAACAACAAGAAAACTTCTAGAGATCGAACTGGTGTTTCAGTAGCATGCTCAAGAGCATATTTCTTCCCATAGCCGAGCGCGTTGCAATGCTTATTTTGCCACTAAAAACAGCCGATTAACCGAACATTTGAGACCCGTTGTTCGAACCCCATGGCTATATTACACCTTGTCGGGAGTGGGTATAAGAGTGTGAATCGTGGGTGGTATCAGAGCAGATGAAGGTAGGAGAGCGGAAACTACAATCCGGGAGTCTCGGACAATGCGGAGGGGTTGAGCTGGGTTGTGTTTATTCCGCTCTAGATTACCGCATTTGTCTCTATTATCATGTGCTTGAGCTAATATGCCGTGCAACAGGAGACAACAAACACGCCAGGCCTGCGTAGACTCCAGGGAAGAAGGCAATAAGAGCAGCCGGAGCCTCGTCAGGAGCTGATTGTGGTTTTTGGGTTGAACCGGGCAGGGCAATGGTGGGAGATGGAGTTCGACACCTGAAGAGTCTTGCCCTTGCGCATCGATGGTATCAGAGTTGCTAGCTACGAAACAGGCATGGCATATTCCCGCAGGCTGAGCTCTGAGAACATCGTCCTTGCGTGTGAATTAATTGGGATATCGGGGATACGGCATGTAGTTGAGATCGGCGGTTGTTGTTGCATATGGGAATCTCGAATGTGGAGCAACTGCTCTAAGTGGTGACACATGTTTGACCGAAGGTGCCCAGTGAACCCAAAAAAAGCCGTCTCCGTCGCCAGATCTCTCTCCTGATACGGTCGGAACTACCCGAAACTCAAAACTGAATTGAAAGGCCCGTGGTGTTGAAATGGTATGGATTGTGTTGTTTATGAGCGTCAGGTACATGGGAGGTGGGGGAAAGCCATGCTGCCGGCCAAGGCACACCGAGAGCTCACCAGTACGGAAACTGGACCGAGCCCTTCGTCTATATGCCAATGGTCCGGTAGGTCACCATGCTGGAAAAAAGAAGAAAGAAGTTCTTTTAATTTAGTTTCGTAGGGCTAACCGGCCCTGCCTCTCCCACGAACATTACCAACCCGCCAACTCCATCTCAACATCGGCTCATACCGTCGACTCCTTGCCCGACTGTCTGCGCGAAATAAGATCCGGAGTGCCAACCATCATATCGAAAAAAAGGGCGTCATTTAGATGTTGGAGGGGTAGAGCATGACACGGACGGTGGCGCCGAGGGACTTGGGGGGGAGGTTGTGGCGGAACTGAGCGCGGACAACACCGGAGTTGCCTATTCATCGACCTTGTTAGTGGCCTCGTTCCTAAAACACCGCAGCATCTGATTCTCTTGCTTGCTGCGCGTATCTCGACTGTGTCGCCCTCTTCGCGGAATATGGTTGATTCGTTTCACGTACCGTGAGGGCGGGTGACCTTGCCCCAGATGACCCGGATGTTGGAGCCACGGACCTCACGCTTGGCCCGGTAGACGAAAGCGACCTTCTTGCCGAGGTAGAAGTTGGCAGCCTCGGTGTTGGTGACACCGTCGATCTGGATCAGACTATATTTCCCAAGATGTCAGATTCCCATTGTTTCCGACGTCGATATTCCGGTGGTGGGTGGATCGGTACCTGGTGTTGCAGTTGACAGCACGCTTGGAGCGCTGGAAGCTCAGGTGGCGACCCCTATTGCAGAAATTCGTATTAACCCGACTGCCCTTATTGCATGCCATCGCGCTTCGACCCGTCTCAAAATCTTCGGCGTAAATTCGACCATGACGATATATCCGGGACATCTTTGCGCGATTCGACAATTCAACGATGTGTTGGCTACTTACTTGACATAGACTAGTGGTCGCAAAGAATCAGGTTAGCTTTCGGTTTCGCCCAAGATGAATCTCCCAGCACCGCGCTCCCCCAATTCCGACTCCATATCCCCCATATCAAAACAGTGTGGCGGCATCATATCATAAAAAAAACCGGAGATGGACTCACGTCTGTTACCGTTTTCCGAAGGCATTCTGGCGGCGTTTCTCTGAGCAACAGCGGGCAACGCAAACGAAGTCGAAGGAAGGCAGAAATGACCCGCAAAAAGTCGTCCGGGTTGTCGTGGTTGTCGTCGCTTCAATCGGTTACGGGACGACGCACAAGGCCACAATTTGCGAGGTGTGTTCGGTGCGGCTCGCCCTAACCCCAATTGGGACGCTTAGCGAGTCCGACCGCCCAGGGCAAGGCAAAGTCCCGTGATATGGGGGAGGATGGGTGCAAACGTGCCAAGCCGCAGCAGAGTGCCCTAGTCTGCTTTCGGCATACGTCGGAAAAACTGGTTTCTCCAGGATCCGAGAGATGGACTCCGTTGATTAGACTAGTGGGAGTGTCCGTCCGTCCTCCGTATTCCATCGTCATCATTATCATTCATGATCAGTTTGACATTCTTTCAAACTTCCGCTCCCCACCCGGTTATTTTGCCGCCGGCCTACTGTGGTCCGAAAGACCTGCCCCTCCCCCTCTAGAGTCTTTCCGCCGGTTGATACTCCGTACAGCGGAGGAAGCTCCAGAGCGTCCCGGACTCCCAAGCTGACAAAACAGTTTGTTGAATTCTTTCCACCGGTGACGGCAATTGGCCCCATCGGATATCACCAGACTGAACGTAAGTGACTGGGACACATTATCCCGCACTTGCATTTTCAGACTGCAGGGAGCGGCAGCAGTAGCAGCAGCAACAATAACTTGGAGTTTCGGCATGCATGAGCTTATCTCCTTGGATTACCCAACAAGGTCCCTTTTCAGTTCCAAGAACAGGTCGCGGTGCCTAGTCACTGTATCTGGAGCTTTAGCATGGCCTTTTATCTGCTGCTGCCAGGGTAGCGCAACATTTGTCCCCGGTGGATTGGATGTATGGGCCTATGAGGGTATGCGGACTTAAAACGGGGGAGGATGACTTCCTCCAAACCGATCAGACCGGGACACTCATTTGGAAATAAAGCGTACCTTAGCCCCACCAGCAATCGGCAACGAACCTGACATGATGTCCTCTCCTTTCAAGCACGCCATTTCATCTTCAAGGTGCTTGCCTTGGGCGTCAACATCACAGAAAGTAGTATACAGGTCGAGTAACAGATGCAAACGCATAAAATACTGACAGAAACAACGAGCATGTGGTTCAATAGTGAGGCGGGAATGCGACGGCGATCGAAGTACATCCATCTCACAGTAGGTGTGTGATAAGGGAGTATAATACTCCGCAAGCCAATCCAGCCCTGACTCGGCATCCTAGCACCATCTCCGGACTCGACTGGGCCGAAAGTTCGGTTTGATTCACTGTTCCTGCTACACTACGCCCATTTCACGGGAAAATTAAATCCGTATCATCCTTTTTCTGGATGACAAATTCGCCGATCGAACCCCACGACGCTGGTCACCGGAGACGCGGATTCAGGAGTCTCACAGTCTCAGCTGGTTTACCGCAACCCCCGGCAACCAATAGCCCTTCGCTGCAGCTTCTGGCGCGATCTATACGGTTGCGGTTGTGGAATAGCCTGATCATCGGCTCAATGCAGTTATCAGCACAGTGCTGCAAAACGGTTGAAATCTTTCACTAGCATGTAAAATGGGGATTGAAATTGAGATGAAAAGAGGGGCAGGCGCAAGCTTTATGTAGGCGGGATTCTCTCGGATTGTATCCCCACCATGTCGTCCTGTAACGAACAGGACGAGTAGATAGATTGCCATGATCTTGTCCTGTGGTTGGGATGCGCCGGGCTGAATACGATCCATTGTTACCTATCTTAGCAGGACAGGTCCCCTAGTATTGAAGCTGACCTGCATGGCTGGAAGCTCCACCCGGTCTTCATCCAACGCCCCGCCGATATACATTTCATGTACGACGACGGGATCCGGGAGGAAGCTCTCGTAAACGCATGCTTCTCCGTCCAGAAGGGATACGGGTAGAAACAAAGAGGCATGTCAGATCGAAGTTGGAGGGGGCCAAACGAACTATTGGATCATGATGAACGCGGGGTGTGCCCCATGTGACTCGAAGATGTGCTTTCTATTCGAGCTTCATCCGCCTCCAGGTATGGAATTTGAGTGGAGGGTCAATCATTCCCCAGATTCATCCAAATGGGTTGAGAGCAAGTGTGGCTTTTTTCTTTTGCTTCTGGTGGTAGAGCTATAATAGTGCTGATGGGGCTTCTGAGCGGAACGGTCGGGAATTTCTTGTATCTCTGTATTCCAACTCAACTTCAGAGTATGTTCATGTTACCAAGCAATGATATAATCTCGAGAGTCATTGCTACAGGGTGGGAACTGGACCGGAGCGGGAGGTTTGTTGGAACAGATGGAATAAATCAACTATAAAGCGGACAGAATTTCCTACTCCAAGGAGAAGCACACGAGAAGAGAATTTACCGAACGACGACGATCTTTCATGTCCGAGAGTAAGACGGAGAGGATTGATTAATTGAGGAGAAAAAGAAGAATAATCAATCAGATCAATCAATTCCTGAAAACGAATTGACTTGAATAATTTACCTTACAGTCTCACTTCTTCTTACCCTCACCCTCACCCTCACGGGGTCCCGCGGCAGCGCAGCATCGACGTAGTGGAAAGAACAAGTGCCCCACCCGGGCTCGATTGCTTTGCGCCCGCCCACCTTTCTGCGCTTGTTCCAGCAAGAAGCAGAACAGCAGCAGCTCCCCCTCCGGCCATCTTACGCTACTCGAGCCCTCACGCTCTTAAAAAGTACTTGCTCCGCCGGAATTGTTGGGAAATTTCCATTAAACCCTTTGATTTCTATTTTCCAACCCTCTCATTTCCTCCTCTTCTTCGCTCTCTCTCTGTGATTTATTTACACCTATCTACTCTCCCATTCTATACCTACTCAACAACCCCACCATCCAAAGAACAATGGCCAGCACGATAGCCCGCACTGAGGAACGCCAGAGCGCTGGGTGAGTAGTACTACTGCGAGTCTATTCCCTCGCTGACATCACACCCCTCCTTCCTCTTCCCCCTCCTCCGTTTCCTCCGTTCCCTCCTTGTCCACCGCCCAACTACTGCTATGTGAACTTCACCCACCACCAAAACCACCACCACCACCACCACCACCAACTTCTTACTACCGGGCCGGTTGCCAAACACTCATCTACCAACCCGCCCCGCTTCTACCTTTCCCCTCTCCCCAGTCCCGCGATCGCGTTTCCTACCAATTCGTGATCAAGATCAAAGATTCCGTTGAATTTGCCCTTTTTTCTGTCATTTTCTGCCGTTTCCCGATTCTACGTAATTTTCTCCAATCGACAGACATCAGATCCTTGCAATTATCAGCCAGTCCCTGCCGACTTGAGAAGCTAATATGGACTTCGAACGCAGCAACGCCGAACTCAAAGATGACACCGTCATTGTAGTACTAGGTGCATCCGGAGATCTTGCGAAGAAGAAGACTGTGAGTCACTCCGCGTGCGAGAAAGCAGAACTGATAAAGATGATGCATCGAAGACGGATGTTGAAGCTGACAATTACCTTAGTTCCCCGCGCTCTTCGGCCTCGTATGTTGACCATGACCATTTCAAGGCTGCTGCCGAAATTGTCCTGGATTCTAACCGCGCCTGTAGTACCGCAACAAGTTCCTGCCCAAGGGCATCAAGATCGTCGGCTATGCCCGGACAAACATGGATCACGAAGAATATCTGAGACGTGTGCGCTCATACATCAAGACTCCCACCAAGGAAATCGAAGAGCAACTGGATAGCTTCTGCCAGTTCTGCAGCTACATCTCCGGCCAGTACGACAAGGATGACTCTTTCATCAACCTCAACAAGCACCTCGAGGAGGTGGAGAAAGGCCAGAAGGAGCAGAACAGAATCTTCTACATGGCACTTCCCCCCAGTGTCTTCACCACCGTCTCCGACCAGTTGAAGCGCAACTGCTACCCCAAGAGCGGCGTTGCTCGCATCATCGTGAGTCACCCATGCCACAATCGTGATCGACGAACAACCACTCACATGTTTGGTGTTGTGCTATAGGTTGAGAAGCCCTTCGGTAAGGACCTGCAGAGCTCGCGCGACCTCCAGAAGGCCCTCGACCCCAACTGGAAGGAGGAGGAGATCTTCCGTATCGACCACTACCTGGGTAAGGAGATGGTCAAGAACATCCTCATCATGCGCTTCGGAAACGAATTCTTCAACGCCACATGGAACCGCCACCACATTGATAACGTTCAGGTATGATGTTCTGCGGGTTTCGCTGGTCTTTGTCAGTCGCTAAGATTTTGCGGGTTAGATCACTTTCAAGGAGCCTTTCGGCACTGAGGGTCGTGGCGGTTACTTCGATGAGTTCGGTATCATCCGTGATGTGATGCAAAACCACCTTCTGCAGGTCTTGACCCTGCTCGCTATGGAGCGCCCTATCTCCTTCTCTGCTGAGGATATCCGTGACGAGAAGGTAAGCGTCTTTCTCACTCGCATCGGACTCCATGACTAACTCCATCCCAGGTCCGTGTTCTCCGCGCAATGGACGCCATTGAGCCCAAGAACGTCATCATCGGTCAGTACGGAAAGTCGCTGGACGGCAGCAAGCCCGCCTACAAGGAGGATGAGACCGTCCCCCAGGACTCTCGTTGCCCCACCTTCTGCGCCATGGTTGCCTACATCAAGAACGAGAGATGGGATGGCGTTCCTTTCATCCTGAAGGCCGGAAAAGGTACGCCCGTATTGATAGCGAGTGTCGGATTCTCGAGCCGGTAGACTAACCTTCTGCAGCCTTGAACGAGCAGAAGACCGAGATCCGTATCCAGTTCCGTGACGTCACGTCTGGAATCTTCAAGGACATTCCCCGCAACGAGCTCGTTATCCGTGTCCAGCCCAACGAGTCCGTCTACATCAAGATGAACTCCAAGTTGCCTGGTCTGTCCATGCAGACTGTGGTGACCGAGCTCGACCTCACCTACCGTCGCCGCTTCTCCGACCTCAAGATCCCCGAAGCCTACGAGTCCCTGATCCTCGACGCCTTGAAGGGCGACCACTCCAACTTCGTCCGTGACGATGAATTGGATGCTAGCTGGAGAATCTTCACCCCTCTTCTACACTACCTTGACGACAACAAGGAGATCATCCCCATGGAATACCCCTACGGTATGTGTACCCATTGAATCGGTAACTTCGCCGTGCGATCGCTGACAGTTAATCCAGGATCCCGTGGACCCGCTGTTCTGGATGACTTCACGGCCTCTTTCGGCTACAAATTCAGCGATGCCGCTGGCTACCAGTGGCCCTTGACCTCTACCCCCAACCGGTTGTAAATCATGGCATAGCCATTAGGACCGCCTCAAGTTGAAAAGGGGTCTAACGAATGAAGTAAAATGTCAGACTAAGTTATGAAAAAAAAAATGTTAATGCTATGGGGCGAGATCTACGGCAAGACCGGACATGTGGGTTGATATGACAGGAATGCAAGCTTAACGGTACTGTTCATCGGTCGGTCGGGCAATGACTGGAGTTACTGTTTACAACCCCTTCTATTTCTTAGAAACGAATGCAGAGCACGTTACGAATCATATGAGTCTGGTCTGGTCATGGCGTGGTGTTTAGAGATGGCATGGCGTGGTTCAGGATGGCTGTCGCAGAATCGTAGGAATGCTGGCGAAGGCAATAGAGTTGATTAAACGCGATAACATTCCCGCATCCCATCCAGGTTCTAGATCCAAGCTGTACGGATGCATATCTACTGGCAGGTAGACTGCATACCACGCTTCGGATCGCTAAGCGAACGGAATCATTCATTGCCTAACTGGGCAATTGAGTAGCGGCAAGGGAGCATCTTCGGTACAGAATAAATGTTCCCAGTCTTCCGCACTCTTCCGCCCAACAAGAGGCTCCTGAGAATCAAACCGTTCCTGAGACGAACTCAGAGATGGACCCTGGAACGGCCAAGGAAAACCCCACTAATGGTATGAGGATCATAATTTAACACAGCTGTCAATCGCCATGATGGTTGAGCCCTTAACCAAGAAGGGTTAAGGGCCATTATCCATTCTGTCTATGCCGCGTAGAGAGAGAAGCTGGAAAAGGAGAGAGTATGTAACTTACTTCGTTAAGTTGTGCAGCAGTGCCCGGAGGATGCCCAGCGGGGTGGGTGCCCAGACCTCCAGGGGTGCAATTAAATCCCTCCAGGTCGCGTGCCTTGCTCTGCTCTGGGCCTGGCAGTTCACTCGGTGATATATGAATAGTAGCAGCAGTGGGAGTGGGTCTCTCTTCTCTGGGAGCCGATAAGACCAGACCAGACCAGACCACCCACCACGACGGGCCGGGGGCCCGCATGCGTCGTCTTGCCTGTCCTGCCGCGTCTTTCTTGCTTTGCCCTGAACAGCCCGGGGCTTCGTCTTCTTTCTCCTTCTCTTTTTTCTCTCTCATTCTCTTTTGTGTTTCTCTCATCTTGTCCCTTTTCTTCTCTCCTTTTTGCTCTCTCCCCAATTTCCGATGCTTCTTAGCCAAACTCGAATCCAGTACATTACCACAGAACTAAATTTCCATTGACGGCATATCGCGCATTAGACCACGACCCTCTTTCCCCGCAGCTATACTCCATACCTGCTACTCATACATTTTTGCCGGAGCTCCGCACTTGGAATACTACTACGCAGGACGAACGAACCCTTTCCGGCTATTTTTAAAACGACCAGAAACCGTGCGACAACCAACCTCATTTCTCCAACCACTGCCATTTTTCTTTCTCTCTTTGAGGTAGACCTCAGTGCTTGTTTCGATCGATTATTCCAGCCTCGAAGGATATATATTCACCCCACGCGACAGTTTGGAGGATTGTCTCGACGACATTGCTCGCGGTCCGATCTCAGGCACGGAGTGAGTGAGCGGGCGAACCAACGCTGGTTCATGGAAAGCGGTACAAATTGGTAGAGCACCGGGCGTCAAGTGCATGCGCGCATTCGAATTTGCAGGATGCCACAAGCTGCAAGATGGGTGGGATCTCCCTCAATCCGAGGCCGAAGAGAATGGGTGCGCATGGTGCTTTTGACTTTCAGTCTGCTGGGCTTACAGTGAGTGTTTCCCCCCTTCCCTCAGGAACCGTTCTCCGTGCCATTTCCGTCCGCTCGGAAGAGGGAATACAGCAATTTATCTGACTTGCTTCTTGTCGCTCGCAGATTTACATGGGGCATTGAGATGACTTGTACGTGAACCATTCCCATTTACATGGAAAAAAACAAAAAAAAAAAAAAAAACAAATCCTGGCAAGCGTTTCTGACTCGTTCGTGCGATAGATTGCACGCCGTATCTGCTTCAGCTCGGCCTCACGAAGTCCAAGACCTCGCTGGTCTGGATCGCTGGTCCGCTTTCCGGGTTGATCATCCAGCCGCTTATTGGTGTGATCGCTGACCGGTCTCGCTCGAAATGGGGCCGGCGCAGACCATTCATGATCGTGGGGTCGGTGGTGGTCGCAATGTGCCTACTGCTGCTGGGATGGACAACGGAGATTGTCAGGATGTTCGTCAAAGATGCCGAGAAGGTACTTATCAGCTTTCCTCTTCTTTCTGGTGGCATTCCACGGTCTAACATCTCCCTAGGCCAAAAGCGCTACTATCGCCATTGCCGTTCTGAGCATCTACGCGGTGGATTTTGCGATCAATGTCGGTATGTGCTGACTGACCCTGCATTGGGCTTTCTTTGTTTAACCTCAAATCAGTACAAGCGTGCTGTCGCAGTCTCATAGTCGATACGTTGCCGATCCCGCTTCAACAAACTGGGTCCGCATGGGGTATGCCTCCTCTCCTTGCACTGGTAGGACTGCAAACTAAAACTGAGCAGCAACCCGGATGACGGCCATTGGACAGCTTATAGGTTACGTGATCGGCTCAATTGACACTGTCAGAATCTTTGGGACTGCTTTTGGTGACACGCAATTCAAGCAAATGACGGTCTTTGCTGCGTTGTCTCTAATAGCGGCAGTTTCCGTCACATCCTACGCGGTGAAGGAGAGAGTCCTGATCACAGCAAGGTACTTAGGACATGGCACGACCTCTAGATTCTTACACTTACTGATACCCGGTTTCTAGGGACTCTGATGATAAGGCCGGAGCGCTACAGGTGATCTCCCAGTTGTGGAAAACAACAATGGAATTGCCGCCGCGCATTCAGGCAATTTGCTGGGCTCAGTTTTGGGCCTGGATTGGTATGATACACTTTGTCCCTATTCATGAAGATGCTATTCTGACCGGAATATGTAGGCTGGTTCCCATTTCTATTCTACAGTACGACCTGGGTTGGTGAGACATACTTTCGCTACGAAGTTCCCAAAGATGCAGTACGCCCCAGTGATATGCTAGGAGAGGTTGGTCGTGTTGGCAGTTCATCCCTCGTGGTCTTCTCATCCATCACTCTTTTTGGAGCTGTACTTCTACCGTTCTGCGTACAGCCACCAGACAACAAACGGCCCCGGTTCACACCACGACCACCTCCTGGTATCGCTTCCCTACTGAAGAAGGTCCCCAGCGTCCGTCCGGATTTGCAGACAACGTGGTTAATTTCGCACATCATGTTTGCCGCCACCATGGTTTTCGCCCCCCTGGCACGATCGCGCGCGTTTGCGACATTTTTGGTTGCCCTCTGCGGTATCCCTTGGGCCATCAGCTGCTGGGCTCCTTTCGCCTTCATGGGGGTTGAAATCAACAAACTAGCCATGAACCCGTCTCCATCGTCACGAGTGACCATGATCACTTCTTCGGGTATTCTTTCGGGCAGCTTCGCCGATCGAACAGCCACGGACACGGAAATGGACGTCCTCCGACTCAACCACCACGATTCAGACAGCGACAGCGACGTGGAGGACGGCGGCTCCAGTGTCCCTTCAACGGGAGAGCTTGCGGGCATTTACCTCGGCGTGTTGAATGTATACACCACCCTCCCGCAGTTTGTGGGCACATTCATCAGCTGGATCGTGTTCAGTATCTTCGAACCGGGCAGCACCAAGCGCGACGACTCCGCGCAGGAATCGTCTCAGTGGATGAATCTAGACAAGAGCAGGCCCAACGCTATCTCGATTTGTCTATTCATCGGCGCGATCAGCGCCCTCGTCGCTGTCGAGGCCACACGACGGATGCGCCACGTGCTATGACCTCTTATGGGGCTCTTGAGATGCCCTCAAATTTTAAAGCGCTCCCCCCGCATACAGATCTTACACATCGATGCAGTGTTGACCCGGGCAAAATGCTGTACAAAGACCTCTCAACGCGGTCGCCATATCTCACACATATACCCACGATTTCATTTCGAATACCCCCTAATGCATAATGTTTTTTACCCTGTTGCTTCTACACATATCGAAGCCAAAGCAATTTTGCAACCAACCCCGGAATGGCATGCATTGATACATACGCAACGATCTATACGATTATATATTTAACTCTTGCCCCATCTTTCTCTTCCCCCTCTTGTCCAAAAACTCCTGTTCTCGCACAAGATAACCATATACCGCCGGTGGACATGAGGTTTAACTCCTCCATGATCTTTGTTTTGGTGCTACTTCTATATACCGTTCTGTGCATGGACGTACGTCAGGCTTGGATGCTTCACGTCTTCACGCCTTAGAGATTTTGTAATAGATTTTTTTTGTTTGTCTCATGTTGATTGGGTTTTCGCTACTGAAACGGAAGAATAGAAAGATGTTTATGGGTGTGCTGCTGTTCTTTCTCGAGAGGTGGGGGGATCCTTCGGAGTAGGTAGGGTTCAGTCACATACATATCGTGTAGAGTCGAGAGGTACCATAGTTCTGTCTCAAGTAGGCGGGATTCCAATGCACGGGGGCCGTTACGCCGTTACTTGCACCTTCTGGAAAGATATCGTGTACTGTACTCATCGTTAAAACAGTCAACCTGTGATGGTACTGATACCTATGCCCGAGTAAGGTCTAGTACAGACTCCCGGTGAAAGACCAAAGTATGGCTCAACTACCGCCCAAAACAAGTAGGATAAGAATTGGTTTTGGAAGAGACCTGGAGCACCGAACTACCAGAGTGGCCTGCAAGTCATGTGATTGCTGGAACAAACAAGTATTTTACCAGACCTGGTCTCACGACACATGAAATGGGGACCTTGCATCGAACACATACTCGGGAATGAATAAACTAAACGCGAGTGGGAATGATTATCGGATGCGCGTAGAAACACCTTGACATCCATCCAGACTCAATAGGATCAATACAAGCAGGAAAGTGATGACAGAAAAATACATTAATTAAAAGGGTGTTTGTTGGTATGAACAGGTAAAAACTAAATCACATCAAATGCGCGGCGAGGTATATGTGCGGAAAAGACAGCCAAGATAGAAAGACAGCAGCAGAAGGTTACGGGCCGGAAGCATAGCATAACGGAAACGTTATCACGTGTACGGGCGGATTCTAGGGCTGGCTGGCGGCTTGCATGTTGCCAGTCAGCTCGGCTACTCTGGCCTTGATGCGAGCAGCGCGGGTCTCAAAACCTACATAGAAATGTTAGAGATTTGCTTCGGTAAAAAAGATACAACAAGCAAGGAAGTGTGACTTACTCTCTTCTTCGCTCGTGTTGTCGTCGCTAGTGTAGTCGTTCTCCTTGCGAGCCTCCATCTGCGCG